TATATATATATATATATATATATATATATATATATATAGCAAGAAGGTGACCCTCTTTGTTCTTGTGACACATGTCCTTTCTATTGTCTATTTTGTAATTTTGAGTTTTATTTATTTTTTATATATATATAACTGTTGAGCTAAATTTTGTAGCATTAGCTAACAATAGATCCTAGAAAAAAAACATATCCATGGGGTTTTGACCCTAAATTTTGCACATACTCTTGAAATGTGAATGTTCTCAAAAATGATGATGTGACAAATCTAATTATCAATAGAGAAATAAATATATAACTGTTGAGCTAAATTTTGTAGCATTAGCTAACAATAGATCCTAGAAAAAAAACATATCCATGGGGTTTTGACCCTAAATTTTGCACATACACTCTCTTGAAATGTGAATGTTCTCAAAAATGGTGATGTGACGAATCTAATTATCAATAGAGAAACAATGAAACTATGATATAACAAGGGTGGTTTTCTCTTAGAACTGGTAGTAATGCATGTCCCAATGCAGAGTGTTAGAAAATAAGGGGCCACTTCAGGTAAAGAAAATTCATGGTGTGTGAAAAGTGATTTGTTCTTGATGTTCTCTAAGATAACATGGTGAAATAAACACCATTGTTGAGTGGATTTTGTAGTACTACAATGCCCAATATACATGTCATAGATGCATGCCTAGTTTTCTGCATCAAAATACTTCTCCTTTGAAGATAAATGGATCTATTGACTCTTCAATGTCACTCATTGCATTTTCTTAATTGGAATTTGTATATCAATTATCAATTTTTTAAATTGGTATGGCCTTCTTAACATACTGTTCCGTGCGACTATGATATAACAAATCTTGGTGTGGTTTTCTCTTAGAACTGGTAGTAATGCATGTTCCAATGCAGACTGCAGAGTGTTAGAAAATATGGGGCCTCTTCAGGTAAAGAAAATTCATAGTATCTGAAAAGTGATTTGTTCTTGATGTTCTCTAAGATAACATGGTGACATAAACACCATTGTTGGGTGGATTTTGTAGTACTACAATACCCAATGTACATGTCATAGATGCATGCCTAGGTTTATGCATCAAAATACTTCTCCTTTGAAGATAAATGGATCGATTGACTCTTCAATGTCACTTCATTGCATTTTCTTAATTGGAATTTGTAAATTGATTTTTAAAAATTAGTAGGGCCTTCTTAACACGCTTTTCCATGCAAATAGTGTGTGAAACATTTAACCTCTTTCAAACGTGCTTGGCTATCCCTAACCTTGAACTTAAGCATGATATAGTCCGTGTGTATGTGTGTGTGTGTGTGTGTGTGTGAGAGAGAGAGAGAGAGAAAGATCCTGTTCACTATTGAATGCAAAAATAGAGGTAAAATGTATCATTAATTACAGTTTCTTGGTGAGCAAGCTTGATCATCCACCTTAAGTGCCTATTCAAGAGACATCTTTGAGCTTATATCTTCTAACATAAGCCACAAATACAATCAGATTTAGGGTGCTTATTGTTGCTAATAACCAGAAGAAATAATCAAGATGGCCATCATTTAGATTGTTAGATAGCCATCCCAATTTACCTCCCCTTGATGTTACATTCTGCACTACTGTGAGAATAAGTGAACTCAAATAACTACTCAAAGATTTGGTAAGCAAAGAGAATGATGTGGTCAATGCCTTGAAAGCGTTTGGCGATGATCATGAAAGAACTGCAATTGTGCAGCATTATTGAACATATCAGAGATTCCAACTAGGAGATATTGAGGTAGCTGCCATAATATGCTTAGTGGCTTCTTGGCTCTTGAACACTCCAATCTCTTCATCTATACTAATGCAGCCACTACCATGAACAAATTTTTGTAACACGGAGAATCCTTTGTCATTGGTATAAAATTTATTTGCGATTCTGACAATTATGGCTTCATAGATAGGGATTGAAAACACTATGCAGAGACATTCGAATGCATTCAACGAGGCAGGAGGGAAGGAATATGGACCAATTTTGCAATCCATTTTTGTTCTTTGTTCAATGAATGTTGTGATCATGTGTTCCTCAAAAAAAAATGTTGTGATCATCTGGGTGAAGGCTCTGCAGTAAACAATGCTCGTCATGAAAATTGGAACCATTGCTAGGTGCAACTTCAGTTCTGACACCTCTGATCCACAATTGTTGACTTGGGGAATAGTTTTGAAGGCCCTTTCATCAGGTGACCTATCATAGTGCAAACTTGAAATACCTCAATTGGTTTGGTGCAATTTCTAGACTGACTATTTGAAATAAATGAAATAAATTGAGATGATAGTGTGTTTTTGTGTGTGGAGGGTGTGTGTGTTGTGAGGCAGGGATGGTACAAAAAAATTTACAGTGTGTGTGTGTGTATGTTGGGAAGGTTGGTGTGGGAAAAGAAAGTTGCATGTTTCGCGTATGTGTTTGTGAACGAAATAAAATTGAAATGATCGTGTGTGCACGTGCAGGGTGTGTGTTGGGATGCAAGGATGGGACAAAAGAAGTTATGATGTGTGGTCTCTGTGTGTGTATGTGTGTCTGTTGGGGAGGTTGGTGTGGGAACATAAATTTACATGTGTGTGCTCGCATGCAAACATTTGTGTGTGTGTGTGTGTGTTGGAGAGGTAAGGTTGTTACAAAAAGAGTCCCACGATCTGTAGTCACTAAATTGACAATAATCGAAGTACAGCAGAGGATGGACAAGCCAAGAATGTAACTTAAGGGAAAACCTCACAAAGGAAAGCTCTGTAACCTCTACTTCCTCCAAATTCTCTGCTACCCAGAAATTTTTTTGTGTTTTGTGTGATATGTATATGCATGTGGTGTTCTGCATCCATGCACCCAAGTGTGTACTGGCAAACCTTGCACGATCATCATGACAACCAATGGAATCAAGGATGTACCTGAATTCTTCATTCTGCACCAACTTTTGGAGTTGAGCTATCATCTATATCCTCATAAAATGCCTATTTCATCACTGAATACTTTGTGCTTTTCCTTTCTAAGAGAAGCCATGATGCCATGAGAAACTAGCATTAAAGGACTACCATGTGGCCTTTGTGACTGAGAGCATGCTGCCCCATAGACAAAGCTCACCATGGCTATGGCCATGGATATCGCAGGGATCCCGAATCCCATCTCCCAATCCACACCGTCTTGGATCCAAACTATGAGGCTCCCTGAAATTGAGAGCTCCCATTTTGAGTGAGAAAAAATACCAACTAAAGAATGATGACTTATGGATGTGTTCTGTTGTGTTGGTGTCATCGAATGGGTCAGCTCCAAGGGGAAGCAATGTTGGTTTTAGACAACCTGATTCAAATGCAATCAATTAGAGGCCAACAAAAAGGATGGGCTTTGGATTGTAGATGTTGATGGAAAAGTAGAGCCTTCTTCAGTTGATTGGAATCCAAAGACATGCATAGATGTCACAAGAACCATGTCCTGGAATTCAAAGGAAAAAAGAAAGTGACAATACCCTCTCTAGTATAAGACCAATCTTTTAAATGAAAAAGAAACTACTCAATTCCCCACCTTAAAATGATTTTCCTCCAGGGAAGTACAATTTAAGCCCTTAGAAGTTTAATGACGAAGTCCACAAATAAGGTTGCGTTTCGATATGCATATGCGGTCACATATGCACAGGCATCCACTCATGTGAGTCAACCATACGGATACAACATTTGTGACCGTACTCAAACTTGCTCATCCTACACTAGAAACTTGATTCTCTTGGTCCCTTGGTGTGAAACATTTTCGAGTGATTTCTTGAATTAAGATGGCAAAGACATTTGTTACTTGACTAAGTTGGGTTCGCAAAATGGCAAAGACATTTGTTTCTCGAGTAAATGACATGATATTTAGTACTTACTACTACGCGTTCAAAAACTCAAACTCAGGCCAAATTGGTCATTGCCAAAACAGACTATAGCACTAAGTTAGCCCGTCAACTTGGACAAACTTGACAATACACCATAATCCTACCGCATAGGAAAACACTTCCACTAAACAAGTCGTGTTTACTTGTCTGAATGGAAATGAGTTTTATTTTAACCGCTAGTAACTAGCAAAGTGCTCACTGTCCTCTATTTGTATTATACCTCAACAGATCATATGAAATTTCTCTTATGATAATGATTTTGTACTAAAGATAATAAATGCCCAGACATGTCAAGTAAGCTATCTAGTCATAGTGTGAGCCTTGCTAACTATATTAAGTAAAATATAAATCATCTGAATTTTACTTCTATGAAGTAAATTGGGAGGGAAGCAACAATGGTCCAATATCTCCCCAAAGGTGTGAAGAAGCTGGTTCGTGTCTAAGCGTTAATGCTAGCAGCAACAGAAGCACCACCTTGATGGAAAACTTCACTAAGATGCATAACCAGGTTTGTACTGATGCGAAAGAAAGCCAAGCTGTCGAAGCACTCTGCCACTGTAAATTGGATCTAAGTCTGCTTTTATTAAATTCCCATATATTCTTGAACCATTGTAATATACAAACTCAAACAAAATGTTTCTCTCTTGCTCTGAGAATAATTAAAATGCTATACATTTGCTTTTATTTTTACTTACCATTTCCTGTCAGCCTATGGGCTGATGGAATAGTGTAAGCCCAACGGTCTAGATTGAATCTGGGTTGATCGGACGGTCACGACTACGTTTTGCATTTAAATTTTAATTTATTTTTTGATTTTTTTATGAATCCAAATCATAAGAAATTTGGATCGTACACTTTTTTCATCATATTGCACCTAATAAAAATATTTTAAAAAATATTTACAAAAAATAAAATTGACCAAAATATCTCTGAAAGTTTTTGGGGCGTTTTGATTTATTTATTTTTTGTGAATTATTTTTTTGATATTTTTATTAGATTCACTTATTTTTTTAAAATATACACTTCAAATTTCAAGTGATTTGGATTTATATAAAATAAATTAAAATTCAAATACGAAATAAAATCATGACCATTAGATCAGTTCAGATTTAATCCGGACTATTGAGAGCTTACTATAGCAATATGCTAGCAAACTAAAAATGCATAAAGTTCCAAAAAAAAAAGAAAAGAAGAGAGAGTTATTGAGGGGGATTGGGTTGGTATTGAGACCTTCTTAGAACTGGTTCAATCTTGGATGATTCTTTATCAAGATCTAAGATTGACGATTTTGATCTAGATCAACAGTTTTTGAAATATTGATTGCACCCGAGAAACAATATCTTTGAGAGAGTCAATTTGGGTCTCTTGAAGTGGGGCAAATTTGATCAATCGGACATATATTGACGGTTCAGATCATATGCTCACTTAACAATAAAGATAAAGTACTTTTAGATTTCCAAATTTATTTTTTATCTTATAATATTTGGAGGTCAATCGTCGCGTTTTGGGGTCCTGAATACATAAGAAAGAGCAGTATTTGTGCGGTTGTAGTCGCCTAGACTACATTGCTTAAGACAAGCGTAACACTACCACCCAAGATCCTATCCTATTGATTGAGCTACACAAAAATAAAAAAGGGAAGTATTTGGTGAGTCGGCCTACTCACATTATTCTTGTGCAGTCTCCTACAAAATATATCTCAAAGATATTTTCGATCCAAAATTTTAGGGTTCAATAATCACGACCTTGGCAATGATCTAATTTTGAAAATTTTCTTTTTTAAAATATTATTTTTTGAATTTTTTTTTTCGCCGTCCATTTGAACTTTTACTGGATGTAAATTTTTTTTGACATCCATATTAGAGACATATGTTAGATAGACAAGAGACTGCATGGTAATAGGTGAGTCTGCTTACTCACCAAAACTGTATCCAATAAAAAAAGCATTATATTTCTGCAACCACTATTAGGGGTGGCAATAGACTCGGACCCAACCCAGGATCCGCCAGGTATAAAGTCCAACATTTGGACTTGACGGCTCGAGTCCAAGTCTAAAACCTGGACCTGAACATTATTTGGGTATAGGTCAAGTTGGACTCGATCCGTACCCATAAACTGTTGAAGATTAAATACTTCAAGCCCTAATCCTTCGGGTGTATTAAAGATCATATACAATAATAACTTGTAGTTATCTTTAGTTATTAAATGTTAAATCAGATGGCATGAAATTTAATGAAGGGTTATTGTGACCTTGTAGCCGTAGGTATATGGTGGTGAGAAAAGGGCAAAACAAAAAAGAAGCTCATAGTAAGGTTGACAATGGATCATACCAAACCTAGGACCTGACAGGATAGACCCAAGACTCGACAGGTACAAGTATGGGGTCCAACTTTTGGACCCGAATGCTATTTGAGTCTGGGTCCAAATAGAGCCAAACCGGACACGTTGCCACCCCTAAACACTACACAAAAAGGCTTAATATATGGAGTTCCTTTGAATAGACTTTGAAATTTAAACTGTTTCAGTCTTAAGAATCTTTACGCACCCTCAATCAAAACAAGATGGCACCATCCTCTCAGATTTAATTAAAGAATGCCCTGGAATGCATGAATCCCATTCTTTTTCTTTGTTAATTCATCTCTCTCTCTCTCTCTGAGAGCACGCCGGTAAAAGCAAAACGCCACTCTGAAAACTTCTTTTTTCACAGTTTACTTCCTCTCTTTGAACGAAAATCTATATATACATATACCTCTTTACAAAAGGAGAAGAAAGCCATAACCAGCTAGCAACATAAGCAAACAATGGTGGATCAGTTTTCCAGCTACGACGTCTCCATTTTCCGAGAAGCCATCTGCTATTACGATCGAGATGGCGATGGAAAACTCAACCTGAATGAAGTTAGCAAGGCTGTTCAATCTCTAGGATGCAATTTCTCTATTGAAGACTTTCCTGAGGGAAAAGAACCCTTAGATTTGGAGGCATTTTTAGGGGTGGTGAGAGAGAAATCCATAGCTAAGAGATCAGAAGAACTAGGTCGAGCTTTCCGACTGTTCGATAGGAACCAAAGTGGAATGATTTATGTCGGGGAGCTTCGACATTTGCTGACAAGCATCGGTGAGAAGTTGACAGGAGCAGAGTTCGATTCATGGATCGATCAGGAGAAGGAGTGTGATTCTTCAGGGTGTGCTAGTTTTGAGTTTCTTATCAATAAGCTTACGCGTCACGGTTAGTGATGCATGAAAAAGCTTAAAGGGCATGGTGAATTTTATGAGCTCTTTTAAGGGCATGATTGTCAAGCTCAAAGTGCGACTCTTCATGATCCTCGAGAAATATATAAGTTTGCATTTACGACTCAATTTGGTCATTTTCAATAATTTTTTTCAAGAGTTACGTGAGTGAAAGGAAACTTGAAATTAAAAAGTCTGGTGTGGAATGGTTCCAGTTTTGTATAGTGCCTTCATGATGTGGATGCTGGAATAATGCACGCGTACTTCTCAACAATTCATATAACAAGGAAAAATATGTATGCAAATGCCAGAATTTAATATAGTTACATATTTTTAGTTTTAGCTTTTTTTACTAACTAGATTGACGTAAAAATCTGGGACACATTTCGGTGCACTTAAAAAAATATAAAAAGAAGTTTTTAACAATAAATTAACCAAAATACTTCTGAAACATTTAGGGCTATTTTGATCGATTTATTGCTATAGATTTATTTTTTTATAATTTTTTAGCGCCCTTGATTAAGGTTCTTGGATGCCCAAAATTTTAAGTTATTCAAAATGTATAAAAAACAAAATCCAAACATTAAAAACCACCATGACCGCCCAGTTTACTTTCGTTTAATCAGAGACCTTGGAAGTATGCTTTTGCACCCTCCAATCCTTTGTAATCATGTAAGGAGGTTTACCCTTTAAATTATATTTTTGGGAAAATATCGCAGGGAGCTTAATTTTTAAACTTATTTCACAATATCACCCCCAAACCCTTTTCTTTTTCAAGCAGTATTAAAACTTTCCTAAAACTATTAACACGTACCTCCTCGTTCCCTCCTGCCCTTTTTCCTCACTTTTTAAAAGATATTCAACTTCAAACAATTTCTCTTGTACCACATAAGGACATCCTCCTCCCATCTCTTTTTCACCTCATGTCGTATAGGGAAAATTATTGATGTCGAATTTCATAGAGAAAAGTAAGAAAATATGGGAGGGAGTGGATGAGGGGCTATGTTAATAGTTTTAGGAGAAATTTAATGTCGTTTAGAAAAAGGAAAAAGAAAAAAGAGGTTAATTAAGTTCGAAAATTAAGGGTCCATGCGATACCTTTTTCGGGATTGTATATCATGAGACTACCATTGAAATGTAATATATGAAATTGTGTCACAATATTCAAAAAATCTAGTTGTATACATTTCCACTTTTTTTATATTTGATCTTATTTTCTTTGGGATATGTACATTCAAAAGTGACAACGCTTAAATTTAAACCTGGAACATAAGGGTGGTGGCTTGGACAGTGATAAACTTTGGTTTGAGAGTACGTGAGGTTAAACTTTGTTTGGACAGTCTAAATAGGGACATTGTTATGCACAGATTTTCACATGTTCCAACCCACCAGAGAAGCTTCCTATTTTTTTTTGACAGCTTTACCTACTGTCACTATAAAACAAGCTCAGGGTAAGAACAAAAAACAAAACCGTTTGCTAACACATAAATCTCATGAATAAAAAGCCCTGTAATATGGAAACCGTTACAGAATTGGACACCATAAGATGAAGATAAAAGCTAAACTAAGTTGAAACTCCAATCTAAAATCCTAGTGATACAGGGAATTCATGGATCCCCTTCCTTCCTGCTCTTCCTCTTCATCTTCCTCTTCTCTTAAGAGCAAAACTCTAGCAAGTAAACCCCACAAAAGGAATGAAGCCACATTCATTTCGGTATATATCATGTCAGCTTTTGGATCACTTATTTTCATTCAATCCTTGGCTGTTCAAATGAACCCCAATTGGATATTCCCCAATAACTCAAATGAGTTCATATCTCTCCCTTCTCTCCATCCCTCCCCCAAATTGGAGAACATAGGCCTTGCCAAAACTACCTCTTCTTTTCATCGGAAACCCATCTCCGGAAATGTCAAAGATTTTCGATCCAATGGCTCTCGTCTTCGAAAACCCATGTTAAAAGCCCCAAACAATTCTCAAACTACCACTTCTCCCTATAAAAAACCCATCTCAAAGTCCTCAATTTCTTTTCAAGTGGACCCATCTCTATACAAAAAGCAAGTCCCAACAATAATCTCAGATGACGTCTCAAATAAAGCAAATTATACCCAAAGTATTGAATCTTTAAACCAAAAACCCATCTTAGGAGGCTTTGTTGAAATCCAAAAACCCCTCTATTCTCACACAAAACCCTTCTCAAATGTGATATTCTATCCCCTAAGAGACCCAAGTGTTGCCCCTTACACCAATCCCAAGAAGACATGGTTCATGAGCACTCTGAGTGGCCAAAGCAGAGGTGGCATCCCTGAACACTTCATATTCTCCGCAAATTCCACACCAGACAATGCGTATCTATGCATAGACTTTTCCAACAAATCATATGGGTTTTCACGTCATGTCCCCGGTGATTTTACCCTTCTCCGAGGTCTAACATTCGTAGCCGATAGCTATTGGGACTATATCAACCCATGGCATAGTATGAATGCTTTGGCTGTGTTTCTTTCATGGATGAAGGACAATGGGTGTCCAAAGCCAGATAGATTTGTGGCCTTTCACAATGGAGAGCTAGTAACTAAATTGGGTGATTGGATTTATGCTATTTTGGAAGCTTCTTTGGGGTATAAACCCCATGCAGAAACTATGAGTGATGGGTATAGAGGAGGACTAGTATGTTTTGAGAAGGCTGTGATCTTTAGAAGGGGACTTGGTCACATGTCTGGCGAGAGAAGGAATGATTTGTTTGATATGATCAGGTGCAAGAGTTGGAAGTATTGTAATGTCTTTGGTAAGAGAAACAGTGAGGATGGTGGTAGAGTGAGAATTAGTTTGATTGGTAGGAAAGGGAAGAGAGGTCTCAAGAATGAGTCTGGGGTGGCTTTGGTGATGAGAAGAGAGTGTGAGAAGTTTGAGGGTTGCAAATTCAGGCTAGTGCACATGGACAGTTTGAGCTTTTGTCAACAGGTAATGTACTCTCTCACACACACACATGTGCACGCGTGTGCGCACACACACAAGTGTTATGTGCATTACAAGAAGTATTGTTATCTTTTGAAAAATGCATTCAATTGGACCACTAAATTTTGCTAGTTTTTTAATATCAACCCAGCCGTTATATGTCAAAATAGATGGCTGACGTGTGTTTCTCCTCCACTAGAACTCCATACACCTCAATTGATGGATTTTTAGCAGAGGAATGACAGTCATCCCTTATTGAATCAGATGAATGGGGTGATCTTAAAGTATTGCTATAAGAAACTTAATGTGCTCAGTGTATACAAATCATTTTGTTATTTCATCTCTCTTTTGAGACAACCACATTGATGAAAGATTGGGGCATCTGTGAAAGGGAAATATACTCTAGTCCTCATAACCACAGAAATTATGTGGTCATGTGGGTCACCACTGTAAAAGCAATGCATTGGAACAGGATGAAAAGACATCGGGACATCTAGAGCAAGATGATTTTGATGGTGGGTCCCTCTACCTTTCCATCACCATCCAACTCATTGATTGGATGGTGGTGACCCTTATCACCACATTTCCTGCAGTCATTTGGACTATAAATAGTCCTAGAAATGGGTTGGTCAATAATCTATTCAATTGATATTTAACCAATATCTCCCAAGTCTTTTAATAACCCCTTGAATCCGAAAATAAGCTGACTCAACGGCTTCACGAGTCGAGTCTAAATTTGCAAACCATGTCGTTAAATTTCAATGATCTTTAATAGAGCAGAATGGAGAATCGTGATTCATGTAACCAACACCAATTAATTGGGAAAAGGCTAAAATGATGATGATGATGATAATATGATTATGACCTTTGCTAAGTTGAATTGTGATATCCTTAAATTGGATTATGATAATCTGCCCTTTTCCATAGCATGGGATTAACCATAGTGTGTTGCTTTGTGTAGGTTTCCTTAATGAGAAATACAGACATTCTTGCCTCACCCCATGGAGCTCAACTCACAAACATGATGTTTATGCCTAGGGGGAGCCGTGTCATGGAAATGTTTCCCAAGGGATGGCTTGAAGGTGCAGGAATTGGCCAGTTTATCTATCAGTGGTTTGCAAGTTGGTCAGGATTGGTCTATGAGGGTGCCTGGAGAGACACCGATGGCCCAGATTGCCCCAATTATCAAAGACAACGATCAAAATGCTTTATCCTTTACAAAGATCGACAAATTTGGGTTGATGAAACACACTTGGCAAATTGGACTACAAGAGTCCTTAGAGATTTTATCAATAGGAACCAACCTTTGGATGGCTTAAGGTGTCCCTCTGGTGCTAAGGGACCAGATTGTGAGGCGTGCTCATGTGATAACTATCCATAATTCAACCACTGACTACTGTTCTGTGATTGGTTGGAAACTCGTGACGGACAGAGCTACAGTGTTGACAATTTTCTATTGCAGAGCACTAATTTTTTGAGTCAGAGGTTTTTGAGATTTCGTGTGACCCCAGATGTCCTTGTTCATATGATTTGGATTTTGTTTGATGGCTTTGAATGTGTAAGTCCTGTTAGGAAAATTGAGCCTGGAAATGATTTAAAGTGGGAAGCTAAATCTTGTTATCTTTGTGTATTAAAAACAAGTTTTGATCTCTCCACCACCTGTATGTACTTATTTTACATAGTGAAATCGTTACTTTATGTGCACAAAGGTCACGAACGCCCCAAAAGTTGCATTATGGAAAACATATGGCTGTGGGGTATGTCATTTTGCCACAGAGTTTGTGGAGAATTTTTCCGAACTTTGAGAGTGGTTGATGGTACATCTCGAGCAACCCATTTTCATATTAATTGGCTAGAAGTGATTGTGGCTATTTTTATCAAAAGCAGACTATATTGTTGCATAAGGTATTTGGCACAACCTCAATTGTGTGTAGGCGCACCTCAGAAATCCACATCCAACATGGTTTGCACACCTGAAACGCCTTTTGACGTCTTCCAAATCAATTTCCATTAACTTGAAGCTCCATGGATAGTGTAGATCTAACACATTTGTGAAGAATTGAAATTAACATATCAAAAGAAATGGTGCATGATGTACCATTCATTGTGCTCCAAATCCATTTCAGATTTAATGAACCGTTCAAAACAAATGCTCTAGGATGGACCATTTTAGGGCCCAAAATCCATTTTCTATCTAGATCCAGCCAATGAATTTTAGAATTTCTGGTCCTCAATCCAACTTCGAGATGGGTTTTTGCAGTGCAGTAGTCTGCAGTCAGTAGCATCCTTCATGTCTTCCACATCTGATGATATGGAAGATGATGGATTGTTTGAGCTCTTGTAATCCATAGGAATGTCATATCTTAAGCCATCTTTGACATATTGTCTTCTACTCTTACCACTTTTTAGTCTACCTACTATGATACATAAAAAATATTTATACTATTTATTTATAAACAATAATCGTGTCCAGTTGATTCAACTATTTAAATCGAAATACTAAACACCATGTATACTTGTAGACACCAACACTCATGTTAGTGTTCATATAGTAGTGGGTGTACACCTTCTGCATTGAAAGGGAGATAAGGAGAAAACACATGCCAAGAACCAACTCTACCACCAAACTATAAAAGAAGAAAATCTTTGTATTTTGGGCGAAAGACCAATAATTCACGTAGGCACATTAGTTTCTGCCAAAAGTGAGGCCTCTGTATATACTTGTAGAACCATAACAAACAAAAATTAAAAAGATTTCTACGCAGAGTTTCAAAAATCGCCAATTTAGATGGAGAATAACTCATTCAAATTGAATCTGTAGGTAACTAAGCTGATTTCTTTATATAATAGGAAATCAGCTCAATTTGGTATGTTAGAGAACTGAAGGATTCGAATTGGGGATTGCCAACTCAAATAAAGCGAATTGGACAATTCCCCTAAAATTATTTGGAAATAATTTTAAATCTTTAAAAAAAGTGTCCTAGAGAATGGGCTTATCCATGAAAATATGCAATTGATACAATGCAAGGCCGATCCAATACATGATTCGGGTCTATAAAATGGTGGTTCCACAATTAGCTAAAGCAAGGAGGGTGAGAAGAAAGTAGTTTTCTAGAATGCGGATTGACTAAATTAGTCACCAGCTGGGTGGATCGGGAATGGATCAAGTCTCTGGTGTGGGAACCGGCCCACCAATATTTTTTAGACTTGAACAAATTTTAAAAAAATAAATTGAGTGGGAATTGAGCAATTTAGTGATCCAAATAACCAGTTCCCGCACAAATTCTATAGGTTCTTTGACACAAATAAACGACTCCATTTCAATCAAACCCTTTCCAAGTTCGAGCTTGGAACTGGGTCAGTCCCCGCCAGTCATGGCATTTTTTTCAAGAGAAAATTATCAAAATACCTAGAGGTATTATTTATTATTTTACGCATTAACAATAATTTCAACTCACGATCGACGTGTTTTGATATCTAAAAAGATAAAATTTTGAAGAGAGTGTCACTCATAGGTATGTTGATTAGGGGGATTGTGTACGGTCATCATACAAGGAGGTCGCAATCACATATAATTATAAAATGTGAAATTTAATGGTTTGGGTGTGTCACAAAGCTTGAAAAATTTACTTTTGAATTTTGAGCCTGATCAATAGAACAAATATTACCATCCAATTTCACATCTCATAGTCAAAATTAATTGTGACCTACCTGCCAAATATAAATGGTCTTATTATGTACTTTTTCCCTTTGAGAATTGTATACTACAATACCATTTACCTTTGGTATAAAAAGGTCACAATGACCTATAGCGAATCAGATAAGAAATTTGATAACTTGTATGTATCACAAAGTTCAAAATATATAAAAAACATTTGTTTGAACTTTGAGCCAAATTAATAGGACAAAAATAATCCACTCATTTTCCCATCTATATACCAAGTATAAATGGGTCATACTGTATAACTTTCTTTCAAGGATTGTATGCTAAAACTGTTTACCTTTGGTACAAAGATGTCACGATCTATGAGAATTGAGAGATTAAAAAAGATGTCGCACATAGAGTTAGAGCTGGTTCAACAAAGTGACATGCGCTTTTGGAGTTTTATGTGATCGTCATATATCAATAAAATTCTATATGATGGCTTTAAGACCAACCATTCTTTATAGGACGGAATGTTCGACAGTCAAAAAATGAATGCGGCTGAGAAGAGGATATTGAGATGGATAAGTGACAAGATAATAAAGAATAG